TTCTAAAAACCAATATGGATACATCCATTCACTGTGGGACATTTTAAAATAAAATAGTGTAGCAGTGAGTATGGGGGAAAAAAGAAACATGAGTCAAAAGCCTAAGATTTGGTGGGAGCTAGGGTCCAGAGCCTGAAAAACACATTGAAACAGAACATCATATGGTCTACAAAGACAATGTCTGAGACATAATATGTACACAGTAAATGTCATTGAATATATGATTGAGCATGGTTTCTCTAGGATTTCTGGAGAAAGGATCTCTGCTTCCGTTAGGTGGAGGAATTCATTTGGCAGTAAATGTTGTGCTCTGGATTCACAAGCACCTATTAAACAAAGAGAAAAAGTGAGTTCCATTTCTAGGTGAGCCTTCCTGGTCACCTTGCTGAAGGGGCCCAAACACTCTGGCATTCTCCTTTCACATCCTTGAAAATTCCAAAGGTCTTCCTCCTTTCTCACTGTACTTCAGCCACACTGGCACCTCGCTGTTCCTGGAATGGCCCATGTACTTCTCCACTGCGGAGGGCAGATGGTAAGGTGACCCTTATAATCCTCACCTCCTGCTATTCTTGCCCTTATGTAATCCTCCATTTGAGGGTAAGATCTGTGACTTGCATCCAACTATTAGAATATGGCAGAGGGGACAAGACATATGTGATTCTGCTACATAAGATCAGGGCATAAGATCTGGCTTGGCTTTGAAGTAGCAAGATGAAATACATGAGCTACCTAGGGAGGGGGCTACATGGCAAAGGACTGAGTGAAGCCTCCAACTGATGGCAAGAAACAGAGGCCCTCATTATGACAGCCTGAAAGTAACTGAATGTTGCCAATAACTATGTGAGCTTGGAAGTGGAGCCTTCCCCAGTCGAGCCTCAGATGAGACCTGAGACTTGGCCAACACCTTTATTTGCAGAAGACTCATCTGAGCAGTGCCTGGACTCCTGACCCCAAAAACTGAGATAAAAAATGTGTGTTGTATTAAGCTGCTAAGTTTGTGGTACTTCATTATGCAGTAACAGATAACAAATACATTCACTTCAGGACCTTTTCATTTGATGCCTCTCAACTCAGAATGTTCTACTCCAGACCCTTTGCATTGTTTGCTCCTTCTCATCTCTTCAGGATATAATGGATGCTCAGGTGGCTGGCCTCACACTCATCCTCATATCTTCTCTCTTGTCTGCTTCTACTGAAGAGACTGGGAAGGACAACACCTCACTTTCTCAGCCTCCCTTGCAACAAGAAAAACCATGTCACTGCACTCCGACCCAAAGAGATACAAGAGGAAGTGTACTGGGTGAGATTTCCAGGAAGAGCTTTTGCTCTACTGATAAAAGGGAACAGATGTGACTCCTTTCCCTTGACGCTGATGAAGAGAGGGACCTGGGAGCTATCTTTGTACCAGTTCATAGGTAATTGGAGAGCTGACAGATACCAGCACAATCCATACAATGGCCTGAGCAAGTGTGATTCTCCTCTGGAGAATGTGAATCTAGAAACTTTTAAACATTAGTAGAGGGCACTGTCATATATAATCAGAAGTTATAGAGGAGTAGTGACCAGGGAACTTACATAGGAATTCCATGCGAACTGAGGAGAATGGAATGAATTCATGATCAGAAAAAACGAGCAACCACAGAAGAGAAGGAAGCTTCCTGATAACATTCTAGTCCCCATGAGGCCCACAAGTAATTTCTAAAACTGAGTTATCTGAGATTCCCCAGTGTTCTCTCAATTAATCCCCACTTTATCTGAACTACTTTTGAAGTGTTTGTCTCAGTTCTTAAAAATCCCTAACACACAGACGTTCGCATCTTGTGAGAATGGTTCATCCAATGAATAATGGAGTAGAATGGAATGGGATACAATGGAGTGGGGTGGGTTAAAGAGGAACAGAAGGGAAGAGAATGGAATGAAAGGAATAGAAAACAATGAAACAGAATTGAATGGAAAGGGAAAGGATGAGGAAGAGGAAATGAAGAGAAAAGAAGGGAGGAAACAGAAAGAAAATGAAGTGAATGTAAAAGAAATGTACAGAATGAGAAGAAATGGAATGCAGTGGAATGAAATGAAAGCTAATCAAATGGACATGAATGTGAATAGGGACATTGACTAGAAGGGGTGGAATGGTAAGAAATAGAATGAATGGAATGGATTAAATATGTGGATGGAAAGAACAGGAATGAAATGGGACAGGAAGGAAAAGAATGGAAATGAAATAAATTGATGGGATGGAAGTGGAGTAGACAGGAATGAAATAGATGGTAATGGACTATGGAAGAAATGAATAGGGTAGGATTAAAAGGAAACATTAAAAATATATAAAATGTAATAGGAAGAAGTGGGAACTATGGAAATGAATGAAAGAAGAAAGAAATGAATGAAACACAAGGAAACAGAGTGAAGTGGGACTGAATGCAAAGGAATGGCATTGAGTGGAGTGGATGGGAAGTGATGGCCAGGAATGGAACAGGAAGAAATAAGAGGAATTAAAGGAATGGAAAGGAAACAAAAGTAATTCTATGGAAAGAAATGGAGTGGGATGGAATGGAAAAAAAACTAAACTGGATGGAGAAGAAATGGTTGGGATAAAGTGAAGATGAAATTAAATGAATAGAAAGGAAATAGATAGGTGGAGTGAAAATAAATGTGATGGACTTGTGGAATGGAGTAAAATGGAGTGGACTGGAGGGAATGGAATGAAATGAACCAGAAAGTGATAGGATGGAAACAGGTGGAATGGAATCGAAAAGATTTTTGAAAGGAAATCTCTTGATAGTTTATCCTACAGACTCTTCAGCAAGGAGGAAAAGGCAGACTGGTGACAGCTCTGCATCTGTCCATACTTCATAGTTTGACTCCATGTTTTCTCTTGGTAGTGCTGGGACCAATGAATGCAACGCAAGCTTGGGTGATGGCTTCCTGGGGCCATCAGAATAGCGCTCAGGCATTGCTGAAAGTGATTCCTTCTGCAAGTGAACAAAGATGAGTTAGAGCCCTCAGGCAGAGACTGCCTTAGAATCACAGCATCTAGAAAGTCAGCTTACATTCTTCAGGGATCCAGAGAGGAAGAGGTTTAACCAGGTTCTTACGAAGTATCAGAAGCAGAAGTAGATTTAGGACCCAAGGCCCTGCCTCTGGCCCAGAACTTTTCCTTTTCACCTGGATACCTCTGCAACCACCACTTTAAAACGTCTTTTGCAACCCAGCATGTTCTAGGCCAATGCCACCTCACTTGCAATACAATTCCAAGCCCTGGAATTAGAAGCGGCTCAGTACAGGAGCCTAGAATCTGATCCTCCCTGTGAGACCTTGGGCCACTTTCTCCCCCATTCTTGACCCTCCAATGCTCAATGAAAGATCTAGACAGGACAGTTTCTCAGACTCTATATAACATGTATTCTCTTGAAGCTTCTTTAATAAAATCAAGCAGGGCCAACCTACCTCATAGAACTGCTCAGGAGGGTCTAGTGGCAGCATCTGGGGGAAAAGAAAGTAGTGAAGAGATCATGGGTCTTGGGATGAAGGCCACCCCTGGAAATTCTTGGAAAACGCTTAGGCCTCAGAAACAGTTACATTCCTTCTGATTCCCTGGGGGTCTCCAGGTAAGAGCAAGAAGACAAGGAGAAGAGATGAAAAAGCCACAGAAGGTCTTGAGATCCCCAGAGAAATCAGGGGAGGAGATGCAGAGAGACCCAGGCTGCCACTGGGCATCCTCAAGAGAACATGCCTGAACCCTTAAGCCCAAGAGATGGGACTGAAACAGCCCTGCTGGGCTGGAGGAGGGCCAGACAGTCAGGGGAGCAGAGATGGTCCCTTTGGAGCATTACCTACCTTTTTGAGTTGGACCTGTCCTTGACTGTCCGGTACATTGGCATATATTGGCCAGCCTAGAGAAAGTGAACACCAGCCAAGGGCTGGAGTTAGGAGGGGATAGGGGGAAGGGGCTATTTGTCCAGGTCACATCTATCCCCAGGAAGGGTGGGGCAGAAACCTTCCTTCCTTTCTCCCTAGGACTCCCCATCACATCTCCAGTGATCTTGACCTAGGAGTGTCCTGGAAATCAAGATCTGAGTTAGCCCCAAGTCCTAGCCCCAGTTAGGCCAGGGTCCTCTGTAGCCTGGATTTATCACATATCCATCCTGGTCCTGGTTTTTTCTCTGTAAAATTGAACTGGATTGAGCAAGTCTCTAGAGAACTTCCATTTCATAAGGCCAATCATACCAGAATCTTAGGCCAGACATGGCAAAGATGTTACATTTTGCCTTTGATCAACTCCCCTCCATCAGTAGAGGGTGCCTGAGGCTCTCTGTTGAGACTGTGAGGCTGGTTTTGAACTTACAGGGAGGAGTGTTGTGATTGATTCTGTCTACAGTAATCAATTAACAAAGCTTTCTGAAAGTGAGGAAGAAGAGAACGGCAGCACGTTGCCCTATTTGTGTTACGGTTGTTAGAACAGGCAAACTCCTCAGAGTTCTTGATCCCAACCTCGTCCATTTTCCAGATGCGGACATGGAGGTTCTGAGAGTACAGGGTTTGCCCATGATATCATAGAGACCTAGGGGCAAAGCTGGAGCAGAGGCCTGGGCCCTAGCACCAGTCTCTTCTCCACATCTCATTGCTGCTCTGGGCATCAGCTGTGGAGTCACTTACTGCATCCGGGCTCTGCAGGCTGATCCTTTTCAGAGATAGATGTCACGGCCTCATGGATGGAGTCCTCTGCTGCTTCCCTTGAGGACCTGAAACTCCAAGACCCTTATTCTTCTATGCTTCTAGTCCTTGTCCGTATCCCATGTCCATTTTTGGGCAATGTCCCAAACCCTCTGACTTCCCCGCCTGCCATGGATACAGCTCAGCACCATGGTCAGTAACACTCCTGCCAGGGAGGTCCCCTGCAGGCCAGCACCCCCATCCCATTCCCAGCTTTACCTTGTGGCATTTCTGATGTAGAGGAAACAGCCCAGCCCTGTGAGCAGGGCAATGACAGCCAGGATCCCGATGGCAATACCAGTGATGGCCCCTGCAGACAGGGACGACTGGGGACCTGGGCAAGGAGAGAGAATCAGGGCCTGGGCCTGACACATTCTCATCCCTGTCCCCAGCCCATTCCCAAGATTGTAGCTTTATTTCCACTGTCATTTGACGAGTGCTTGTCTTCCAGTCACTGGGAGAGAGAAGTTCATGGTAGTAATAACATGATTTCTGGAGTCAAATGGCCTAAGTTCACATCTCAGCTGTGTGACCTTGGCCATGCAATATAACCTCTCTGTGTTTCAGCTGTCTCTTCTGTAAAAAGAGGTAATATGAAGCCTACTTCACATGGTTGCTGGAAAGATTAAACATATATGTATTCATATCCAATATATGTAATGTTCAATATGTTTAATGTAGGTAAAGTATTTAGAACCATGGAAAGTGATCAGTCAGCATTGGTGTGATTATGACACTGATTAGGATGACGGATCAAATGCGGACTTCAGAGGAAAGGGCTTTGGCAACCAGAAACCTAACTTTCCCCCAAGTGAGTCACCCTAGACTTCCTGAGGCCCTGTGAACGTGGACAGTGACTTGTCTATCTGAGTCTCATTTCTTCACCTGCAAAGTGCAGTAAGTGGTACCTACTGCACAGGTATGTTGCCAAGGTGACATGAGGCCATGAGTGTTAATGCCGGGCACCCAGCAGCTGATTGATCAATAAACAGCAGCTGTTGTGATGAACACTGGCCGACTGCTTACCCATCCCACTTCTGCCCAAAACCTTTCTTGAAGGGGTGAAGTCCAGCCACAGGAATTGGGAAGGCAGCCACACGAGGGTCAGGGGTAGGAGGAAAGGGCTCTGCTTTGGACGGGCAGAAAGGGGCTTCCTGGATGCCTTAGGAGTTCTTATTCTCGGAGTATCTATTTCTTTATTTGTCAAATAAGCATAGTAATCCATAACCTTACAGGCTTTTGAGAAGATTAAATGGGATCACATGTAAAAGAACCAGCATGGTGCCTGACACTTAGTAGGTGCTTTATAAAAGGCGATGATGATGATAGAAGCTGCCATCTACCAATCTCTAAGCTCCAGGAGCCCTTCATACGTGATCTCATTTAAATCCTACAACATCCTGTGAACATTACCTGAACTCACTACTTCCTCCTCCGAGCCTCTGTTTCTCTCCATCAAATGGTCACAACAAGACCAGAGGGTTGTTCTGAAGATTCAGTGAGATAATTTAGAAAGCTAAATGAGATCATCTACTTTGTGGACAACTAAGAACACTGCTCTTGAGATGGCCAGCCTGGTTTTAAACCCTAGTCACGGGGCTTGAGTCTCTGCATCTCAATCTCTCCCATATGATGGAGACACCAATAGGCCTGCCTCAGAGCTGGCTGGCCAAGAGTATCCAAGAAATGTCTGTTGATAGTATATGTGGAAAGGTTTGCTTTAGGGTGTAGCACAGACTCAATAAAGAATAATTTTATTTAACAAATGTAATATGCCAGGCACTGACATAATAACTTTCCAAATGTTAATCTCCAACAACCCTATAATATAAACACAATTGTTATGTTTGTTTTACAGACAAGCAATTGAGACCCAGAGAGGTTAAGCAGCATGCCCAAAGTCACACAGCACTGGAGCCAGAACGTGAACAGTGACTGGCTAACAGCAACACTGTATTGCCCCCTCAAGGACTCAAGACAGAAACACAACAGTTCGCTGCCAGTCACATCCAGGTTGTGAATAATATAATTCCTGACTTTCCTTATCAGCTCACCCCTTCTCTCATTGGTTATCTCCCTGACTCATTGTACTTCTAAACTGAAAGGTAGGCATCACAAACCCCATTTATGGGTAGGAAAACTGAGGCTCACAGCAGCCTGGAGTGTGCCAGGGCGCACAGTTAGGAAATAGAGATTCTAGCGCCTGAGTGTGAGCAGTTGGGATTCAACAGCTCCGGATTAGGAACCTGTCCATGCGGGACTGTCATTGCCACACCCCAGCCCATGGTAAGGGAAGACTAGATGGCTGAGGCCAGCATTAGGAAAAGTCACTTGGCCCCAAGGAGAAGGTGCACCAGAAGGACTCACCTATCACTCTGATCAGGACTGAGGTGGAGCGGGCCAGGTGGGTCAGAGAGTTAAAAGCCGTGCAGTTGTAGATCCCGTGGTGCTCCCAGGTCAGGGCCTCGATTATCAGCTGCTCGCCCGTACACACAGTGGTGGAGTGTGCAGAGGTCCAGTGAAACTCAGCATCCGGCTGGGAGTCAGCCCGACACTGCAGGGTCAGGCTGGAGTTGAGCTCCGCCTTGATGATGTTGACCACCTGGGATGCTGACCCCCTGGTGATATCCACTCGATCAGGGCCATCTGCATGCAGAGCCAAACATTATGCACCCATCCTCCACTGGCAAGATGTCCTATTCCACCCTGTTCCATTCCCATTTCTCTTTGGCTTCATGCCAATTAGAAGCAAATCCTGTGAATCTGATATTTAAAATGTATTTACGGCCCGACCCCATCTCATCACCCGACCCCATCTCTTCACCCCTAGCTGCCACTCTGGCTCAACTCCATCATCTCTTGATGGGTAATTGTGATCACCACCACCAGAGGGCGCCTCAAAGACCTCCAGTGTTAAGAGTGTAACTGACCAAGGGCAGGGCTGCAGGACCCGAAAACGCATCCTTAACCTTCTCACACGCTGCACCCTGCCAATACCGGAGTGTGCTGGAGAAACTAAGGGAGATCCCCTCCTGGGAGGCATGGGCTCCCTGACAGACTTGATGTTCCTTAGACTCCATGGTGTTCTGCACACGCCCGTCCAACCCTCTCTCCCTTTCTCCCTCACTCCAAGTCAGACTTACATCTCAGTCTGATGGCTCTCCCTGCCTTTCAAGGCTCTCTCCCTACTTTTTCTGCACAGGAGTATTCCCTTAATAAAATCCTTGCAGGTATAATCTCATTTAATCCCATTGTGAGGTCTGCCTCTCCATGGACCCAAACAAATAAAACTCTTTCTATAAATTCCTCTCTCTCCCCTGCTTCCACTCCATAGACAAAGGCCAGAGAGACACTGAAAACCTAAGTCTAATTCTCTCTTTCCTCTGCTCAGAGCCTTCTGTGGCTCCCAGTGTCCTCACCATGGCCCACAGGACACTGTGTGGTCCACTCCCACCCTCTCGACCTCTTCTGTTCTACTCTCCCCATAATTCACCTCTCCAGTCACCTTGGTCTCCTTGGATTCCTCTGACATGCCAAGCACAGTCCCACCTCATGTGCTGTTTCCTCCCCTGGAACTCTCTTCCCTTGGCCACCTGCACGGCTCCCTCCCAGGTCCTTCAGCACAAACACCACCTCCTCCAGGAGGCCACCTCTGACCTCCCCAGCCAGGACTGCAACACCTTCCCAACCTCCCAGCCTGGACTGTCCTTCTCGCTGCCTCCAGCCCCATCTGACACTCCACGTATCTCCCCTGCTTCACTGTTTATGGTCTGTCTGCCTCACTAGAATGTAAGCTCCACGAGGGCAGGTGCGCTGTCTTGTCTGGTGCCCAGCATTCCTGGCCCAGAGCAGGAATTCAATAATTATGGAGTGAATGGATGGAAGAAAGAGCTTCAAGCGAGGGAAGGAGGAAGGGAAGGGGAGAAGGTCCAGGCTGCTGGTGACTCACAGCTAATGTTCAGCCAGAGGGGGTCACTCCGTGCCCGGCAGCCCCAGTTCCAGATCTCACACTCATAGGGCCCCGTGTCGTCTCGCCGGAGGCTGTGGATGGTCAGGGTCCTGTTGTCAGCTGACAGCACCAGGTGCTCGCTGGGCCAGAGGAGCTGACCCCCTAGGAACCACTGGGCTCCGACCTGCTTGTGGGTGGTCTGACAGGTCAGGGCCACCAGGCTGGTGTTCTCCACGGGACTCAGGTTTGAGGGCGTGATGCAAGGCTTGGTCAGTCTTTCTGGGAACACACAGAGACACAAGGAGGGGACCCAGGGACCTTCATCAGTCTTCTGCACATATGGAACCTACAGGATTTTCCAGGGGTGTGTGTGTGCGTGCGCACTTAGCATCTGAATGTACTGTGAGGGTGGTAAATCTAAGTCCTTTGTGTATGAGTGTGTCTTGTGTGACAATTACGTGAATGTGTTATGAATTTTGTGTGTATGGAGAGCGTGTGGTATTTGGGTGTGTTTTGTGTCTGCTGTATCTGTGTGTGTTGTGTGTATATGTTTTGTGACCATGAGGTATGGGTGGTGAACACAGGTACTTTGGGAGCAAGTGTGTATTGTGTGTGTATGTATTTTCTGTAGCTGAGTACGCTGGTGTCTGTGGTAGTGTGTGTGTCATGTGCATGTGTTTTACTGTGCGTGTATATCACTGTATTGGGCGTGTAGTATGCTTATGCATTGTGTGTGTGTTCTGTGTCATTGTGCACATGTTGAGGTGTTGAATACATAGCACATTTTCTGTGTTGTATGTGAGGATGTTGAGTATCCGTGTTGTGTGTGTCTATTTTGTACATATTATGTTTTGTGTGTATATGTTTTTATGGGAGGATATGTTGCATGTCTGTGGTCTTGTTTGTTGCATTCATGAGATATGTGTGTCTGTGTTTTGTGTGTATGTCCTGCGTACTGTTTATGTGCTATGCGTATGTGTGTGTGTATTGTGTGTACATGGTGTAGGTTTGTGTGTATGTGTTGTGTGTTTGTGTTAGGTACTGTGTGCTGCACGTATTGTGTGTATCTGTTGTGTGCATGTGATATGTGTCTTGTGTGAGTTTGTGTTGTATTCTGTGCTGTCATATGTTGTGTGCACATGTTTGTGAGTTGTGTGTGTGTCTGCAGTGCACATGCGTGAGTGTGCTGTTCCTGTGTGATTGTCACCTGTGTGTGTGTCTCTAGGTGAGGATGGGATGTGTGAGTGTGGTGTTACTGTTTGTATGTATAGAGATTCACCTCCTCCACTTCCAGAGAATCACATTATAGACACTCCACTGAGAGCCAGCAAATCCTTGTGGAAGACGTGCCACGCCAGGACCCAGGTCCTCCCCTGTGCTCAGAACCATGATCTGCCACCCTCCACATGGGAACTCCCCACTCCACTGGCCTCCTCAAACTGTAGGATATCAGCGTAGCTCTGATTCTCGGAGAAACAAAGGAGAGGAACAGGGGAAAGAGACTTACCCAGGACTCGGACGTTCAGAACCCCCATGCGGGACAGGTTGGTGGCACTGTTGGACACCAGGCACCTGTATGTGCCCTCGTGTTCCCTGGACATGGCATGGATGGTGAGTGTGCTCATGGTGTGGAACAAGCTCCCGATGGGCAGAGAGTCATTGGGGAGAAACCATAAATAGGTGGGGTGTGGGTGAGACTGAGTCTCCACCGAGAAGGTCGCGTTGGAGCCTTCTATCACCTCAACCACCTCCCTGTTGGACACACCAGACTTCAGCTTGATTTTGACGGGGTCAGGACCATCTGAGGGGACAAGAACAGTGGTAGCAGGAACAACAGCTTCAGTAACAGCTCTCTTAGGGTGAACCTGGGAAGTCAACAAATACTAACTTTTCTCCCCACCCAAACTCTGGGACCATTACAGAGAAGACGCAAGAGTCTGGTGGTGATTAAATGTCTTCCCTGGGTAGATGGGAAGACACAGCTAAGCATTCCAGCAAATGCTCTTTCCTCACCCCTACCCAGGCAATATTTTGGATCAAACATCTGAAAGTTAAAGAGCTCAGTTTTAGGGATGTCAAGTTGGATGTTCCAGTAGAATCCAAGGAGAAGACGCCGCACAGGTATGCGCCTGGAGTTCAGGGGTGGACAAGCCCACGTTTGGATGGTATTGAAATCTGTGAGACTGAATGAGATCACCAAGGAAGTGGCTATCAGTGAGGGGCTGGGGAGAATGGAGAAGGACTTACAGTTCACGGCCAAGAAGGTGGGGTCACTGCTCTGGGCCTGGAGGACACCCCAAACTTCACATTGGTAAGTCCCAGCATCCTCGCGCTGGACAGTGAGGATGGTGAGGTTCTTGCGATCCGTGGACAGCCACATGCGCTCGTGGAACACCAGGGGAAGACTGTTGGAGACCCAGTGGATGGTAATGTTGACGTCCTTGGTGTCACAGTAGAAGGTCACCATTTCCCTCTGCTCTATGGCAGTTCCTTGGCTGACTGAAATGGTGGGCTTGGCCAGTGGTTCTACGGGGAGGGGGGAGGGAGACAGAGGCAGAGAAATGATAAGGGAAGACCCAGGAAGACATAGTCACAGAGGGACCCAGAGGAGCAGGGAGGGGTTGGAACTGTATGCAGACACCCTGGAGCTCAATGACTGGGCTCAAACGCTGGATCTACTTCTCATTCTAGGTGTGATCTTGAGCAACTCACTTCCCTTCTCCAAGCCCCCTTAGGTGGGACTGTACAAATAAAACAGAGGGTCTGGGACATGACAACGGGTCAAGCAACATCAGCTGCAAAGAAATCAAGCTTGTAGCAGGGTTGACAGTTAGGTTCCTCCTACCCACTTCTTAGCCAACCTTCCCCACCCACAGCCATGACAGCCACAATCCACACCTTTACCCCTGCCCCCAAGACCACTGATCAGACCAGTTATTGCCAGACCCTGGCTGAGCCAATCAAGTTTGTCCAGTTGGAACTTTGGACATAGAACCCTGATGGGTGCTTGAGGTGTGGAGACAGAGATCAGAATGACAGCCTCATTTTCTGTGCCCACATCTCTGAATCTGCCATGAGTCTGAGGTGACCAGGGGAGTCCCAAACACAGATGGAACAACATCCTTCTCACTTTGGATGGTCTTAAGCAGGCTGGCACCACGGGAGAGCTGGGCTGCGGCTGGCAGACTCCACACGGTCAAAAGTGAGGCTGCAGGAGGAGAGAGGAGGCGTTCAGGGACGGAGAGGTGTGTTGGGGGTGTCCAGTTATGGTCTTCATAAGTGGAGGGAAGTCTGAGGTCATGGATATGACACTCCACCCCTAGCATCCTGACTCCTACCCACTACTTACGTACTGGTTGTGTGGCTTGAGGCCTGTTTTTATCTTCTCTGAGCCTCAATTTCCCCAGCTGTAAAATGGGAACAATATCATCTGCCTCCTAGAATCGTGGTGGGTGGTAATGAATACTGGCAAGCTCTAACTGGATCCCCTGAGGATCACTGAGCTCTCTCCAATGATGCTCACTCTGTGGGAGATGCATGATCAGCCTCCCCATTCCACAGAGAGGTAAACTCAGCTCAGATTGGTGAAGTCACTTTCCAAGACTATACAGTGAGTGTCAGAAGTTAAAGCCGAATCTGGCCCGCCAGCTCCTAAAGACTGTGTTCTCAACACCCTACAATTCCTCTGGTCCAGGGATGGGCACAGAACCAATCCCTGATAAAGGAGAACTTCTTCCATGAACTTTGATGGGAGAAATTAACCCTTGGTACTTCCTCACACTTGCTCTTAGGCAGAGATCTCCCTTGCATGGGGCAAGAAAAGGGAACCAGGTGGAAGGAGTTTCCATTTGGCTGTTCTGTGCACAGTTTAATGGAGACTCAAAGAGATGGTGGGAGCAGGTGGGGGAGCCCCAACCCCAGACGCTGACCTTGACACCCCCTGCCGCTCCCATCAGCCCAGTTAACAGAAGCTGGCCTCCACCCCACCGATGACCTGACTTCAGCCCAAGCACTGCCCCATTCTCCGCTCAATCAGTGGTTAGGGGCTCGGACTCAGGATATTTCAGAGCAAATATGGACTCTGATGCTTACTTTCTCTGTTATCATGGGCAAGGGGCTTTCTCTTTGTGAGCCTCAGTTTCTTCAACTGCAAAATGGGGAGAATAGCAGAACTTACTTCATTAGGTTATAGTGAGGACTGAGGAGACAACAGATGTGACAGTCCACAGTAAGTGGCAGTCACTGTTATTATTGCCACTGTTACTATTACTCTTGTATTATTTCCTGAGCTTGTATTTCCCTATCTCCAATGTTGTTAGAGGTGAAGCCCACAGGCTGAGTACCTGACTCCCTGGGTTCTGGATCCCAGCTTCTCTATTTGTTTGGGCCAGTGATGTCCTCTGTCTGAGTCTCAGTTTCCTTATTTGTAAGATGGGGGTAACAGTAATGCCTGCCTAGTTACTGTCGTAGGATAAATGAAATAAGGTGAGCGGAAGCATCAGCATTGGGCTCCACTGTGTCCATCCAAGACAGGAAAGTTCTCTCTGTGCGAAGCCTCCACCCGGACCTTTCCCTCCTGCCTCCCGTCCCCCCGGGAGGAAGCTCCCACACACGTTGTGGCTGATACGTCAGCCCCCCCGGGTAGGACCACGAGCCCCTGCAGCCTGCCAGGTTCAGCCAGGCAGCTCCGGCCAGAGGGAAGAACCAGTCTCAGGACCACACAGCAAAGCCAGGCTGAGCCTCACCGCTGCACACCACACATGGCAAGATCATGTCTTCGCCTCCAAAACGCCTTTCTTTTCAAAATATTCTAGTTTCTCCCATTTGGCCTCAGATGCCCTTTAAGCATAAATTTCACCTTCATGCCCCGTCCTGGTGCGTGAGCTGGCCACTCAGGGCTGGTGCCTCCTCCCTCTGCTTGTCTCACTCCCGCCTCTCTGTTCTGCTCTAGCTCTGGGTCTCTGTCTCTCCCCACCCTGATTCCCCTTGAATCTTTTTTTTTAAATTGAAGTATAGTTGATTTACAACATTGTGTTGGTTGCTGGTGTACAGCACAGGTCTATGTACACAAGATAGGTTATTACAAGCTATTGAATACAGCTCCCTGTGCTGTACGTAGGACCTTGTAGTCTCTATTTCTGTGTGTCTTTGAACAGTTTTCTTGCTGCCTCTTCATCCTCTGTCTCCCTGTCTCCTCTCTGTCTCTCCCTCCCTCTGGTGCAGTTTCTACTGCTATTTTCACTCTCTCTGTCTCTCTCGAGGTCTCTCTGGATTGTTAGTTCTGATGCGCCCCCTCCTTTTTCTCTCCATATGTATGTTGTTTTCTCTGCTCTCTGCCTCTGTCTCCCATTGTCAGTCTCTTTTGTATTTGTGTTTATTTTTGTCTCTGTCTGTCTTTCTCTCTGTCTCTACCTGTGTCTTTTTGTGCGTGTGTGCAAGCACACACAGCCCCCCGCACCGCCCACCCCATCTGAGGGGAGCAGAGCACTCACCTGAGAGCAGGATTCCTGCCCAGCAGGGCTGCTGTAGGTCAGTGGACCCCATGGGTCCTGACACCTGACTTCAGAGCACCAAGCTGACAGTGTCCCCAGCTTGCACACGCAGGCACTGTCCTCACTCTGGCTGTGAGGGCTCCCTTCTCTTCCCCTCTGGCTTGCTGCAAACTGACAGGGACTTCAACGACAGCAGACAGCAGCTCCCAGAACAGACAGGGGCGGTGGCACGGGAGGAACTTTGGCTGTACCTCCGCCCTTCATCCCAGGGCTCACTTTCCTCCCTCCTCTGCACAGAGAACAGCAGCCCTGGGAACCCTGGGATTTCCTTCAAGGTGAGAAAGGAGAAAGAAAGCCCTGCCCTTTGGCCCTGGATCCCCTTGGGAATTATGCCTCCTCTCACCCCAAGCCTCCCTCCCCACCATTCTGCCAGGATGAGGGAGCAGCCAGGGAGACATGGTGCCAGGGAGGGACAATTCAAGAAGTTTAGAGTTAAAGGGACCAGGAATTGTGATCATAACAGTTAACAGCTATAACAATAAAATAAAAATGACAGGACCAGACCCAGTGCTGAGTTCACCGTGAACAGCCTGGAAATATTAAATAAGCTGAAATGATGCTTGTGATACAGATTCCTGGTCATAGAGGCACAAAGCGAGCTGGGCTGGGAAAGCCCCCAGAGGGTGCCCAACTCAAGTTAGGAGGAAGGGGCAGGGAAGGCTTCCTGGAAGAGGGGACATCTGTGCTGAAACCTGGAGAACATAAAAAAAGTTTCAGTATATGAGAGTTAATTCCTCTCCTTTTTAAAGGAAATTCAAGTGGCTCTGGAATAGAGGAGGTGGGATGTAATTCAAGAGAAGGCTGAGAAAACTAAAATGACTACTTAGGGTGTGAGGGGCAGCTTGGCATCCAAGGAAAGAGATCTCAGCTCGCCCAGCTGCCTCGAATTGCTACCCCTGTTTGGGTCTCATTCGAGTCATGGACAGTCACCAAGTTTCTGCTCCAATGAAGCAAGGGCTGAGCAAATTGGCTCTGGATCCAAACTGCAGGGAGGGGTTCAAATCCTGGCTCCTCCACTTGCTCACTGTGTGGCGTTGGGCACGTCAGTTCTCCTCTCTCATGGTCACTTTCCTCTGCTATGAGATGGAGATGGTGCCAGTTTTGCCTCTTTGGAGGCTGCTGTCCAAGTTCTTCACACCCCAGCTACGGTTTGTAGGGAGAGGTAGGTCACCCGTGTGTGTGTAGGTTCTCACCAGCCGACTGGGGATGAACAACAGTCTCCCCTCGCAAGATGGTTGTGAGGATCAAATGAGTTAACGGTGGGAGAGAGCGCTGGGAACACCGCCTGGCACAGAGACGGTGCTCGATACGTGGGAATCTCCACTAGGTGTTGTGACTGTCATGTGTTGTAACACAGTAGCCCCTGTGAGGAAGGTATATACTCACTCAGTCATTCAACGCACATTTCCTGAGCTCCTACTGCCCCTGCTCTAGGGAGACAGCTAGGGACAAAACAGACAGAAATCTCTGCTCTGGTAAGGAAAGAGACAATAAACAATAAACATAATAAATAGGTAAATGATGTGGGATATTAGAAGGGGATACGTGCTATGGAAAAATGAAAAGTACAGTAGGGTAAGCGATCATATCATTCCATCTCATAGTTAAGAACACCAGAGTTTAGTGGGGAGAGTACAGCTCAGTGGTAGAGTGTGTGCTTAGTGTGCACGAGGTCCTGGGTTCAATTCCCAGTACCTCCATTAAAAAAAATTTTAATAAATAAATAAATAAAACTAATTACCTCTGCCTCTTAAAAAAAGAAATCATAAAAAAGAAATGTAAATACTTTTAAAAATGTTTGTCTTATAAAAAAAAAAAAGAACACTGAGGTGTTATACAGGTGTGATGACTTGCCTAACTCAGGCCAGGGATTCTGGTGTCTATGCAGACTGGGACATTGTCCTGTACATTGTAACTGACTGCACTTCAATTAAAAAAAAAAAACAAAAGATGGGGGATATAACATGCAAATGTTGGGGAGGGTGTAGCTCAAGTGGTAGAGTGCATGCTTAACATGCAGGAGGTCCTGGGTTCGATCCCCAGTGTCCCCTCTAAAAATAAATAAATAAACCTAATTACCTCCCCACCCCCAAAAAGTAAAATAATCATGCAAATTTTATTCAAAAGAAAGCAGGAGTAAGGAACAAACTTCCAGTGGTACAATAAGTACCAGAGATGTAAAGTACAACACAATAAATATAATTAACACTGTTGTATGTTATGCATGAAAGTTACTAAGAGAGTAAATTCTAAGAGTAAATCTTATCATAAGGAAAAAAAGAAAGGAAGAATGGCTATATAAATAGCAAATAAAATGGACTTCAGAGTAAACAAAATTACCAGAGACAGAAAAGGACATTATGTAATAATAAAAGAGTTAATCCACCAAGAAGACATAGCAACTGAAAATGTGTACACACTAAACAACAGAGCTGCAAAGTATGTGAAGGATAAGTTGACAGAACTGAAATGAGAAATGGGTAAGTTCACAATTATGATTTGATACTTCAGCACCACCATCAACAACTGATAGACACCCAGGCAGAAAATCAGCAAGAATATGGAAGAACTCAATACCATCATCAACCAACAAGATCTCATTGATATTTATAGAGCACTCCATCCCACAAGAACAAAATACACACTCTTTTCAAACATTCATGTAACATTTACCAAGATATACGATATCGTGAGCCAAAAAACAAACTTCAACAAATGTAAAAAAAAAAATTGAAAACCATATAGAGAGTGTTCTCTGACACAATGGAATCAAAGAAATATCTAAGATAACAGCAAACTCTCCAAACATTTGGAAACGAAAAAGCACACTTCTAAATAAGCCATGGATCAAAGAGGCAGTCTCAAGGAAGGGGGGACCAAAACACATGGAACTGAAAGAGAGTGAAAATACAACACATCAAAGGTTGTGAGATGCAGCTAGAACAGTGCTGTGGGAGAAATTAAAGCACTAAACCCTTCACGGGACAAGAGGGGAAGTCTCAGAGAGTCTAAGCTCCTACCTCAAGAAATTAGTAAACGAATAAACAACCCATATCAAGAAGAAGAAAGAAAGTAATAAAGAGCAGAAATCAGTGACATTGTCCAATAGAGAAAATCAATGAAACGAAAAGCTTCCAATTTATCAATAAAATTGATGAACCCCTGCTATTACTGACAAAGAACAAAAGAGAGAAACCACTGATTACTAATTTATCAGAAAATCGCCAACTACCAATGTTAGGAAAGAAACAGTGAATATCATCACAGGCCCTGCTGACCACAAAAGGATAAGGAAATAGGACAGACCACTCTACGCACATAAATTTGACAATTAAGATGAAAGGAAGCAATTCCTCAAAAAGCACAAACTACCACCATCAACCCAATGTGAAACAGACCATTTGAATGGCCTTATTATAATTAAGGAAATTGATTTTGCAATTTTAAAACTCCCAAAAGAGAAACCTCCAAGCCCAGAAAGCTTTACATGAGAATTCTACCAGCTATTTAAAGAATCAGCAAC